CACATCGCCTGCAGCGCGCCGCGACGCGCGCGAACCGCGACGCGCGCGAGCAGCGCGGCGACACGGCGCTGTTCGCGCCGGCGTCCGCCGCGCATCCCTGGGGCCACCGAATGCGCGCGGTGGAACGAAGGGCCGAGTTCGCCCCATACCCCCAACGAAATTTAAAATTGACAAAGGAGCACGAAAATCGCTCCCTGACTGGTTCTTAACTATTATTGAACAGTCCTCCTGTCGAGGGACAAGCCCAACTTGAGTCCTGATGGGTAATGCAAGCAATGGCCTGAAGGCGCGACCCCCCGCCGCACGGACCCCCCCGTGGGACCCTAGAAGCACGGCAGCGAGCCGTCCCACAATCACGGCGAGGAGGAGGAGGAAAGCAACACGGGGCAAGACAGAGGAAGGCGCGAAAAGGTCGAGTAACTAGGGGATCGAATACAAAACTGATTCCTCACAAAATTATTTGCCCCGACGAATATACGGAAAATACGTCTGATGCCCCGCAGGTATACGAACACCCCATCCACGCGTGTCTTGCCTTTCGGCGAGAAAATCAATATTGGAGCAACTCGACTATGTAGTTGATCCCCTCTTCGGGAAAGAGAAGGTGGCGGCCCGTGGCCAACCCAGGGGCGGTGCAGATTGTGAGCTAGGACCGACCGCCCCGGCAATCTTACAGGCCTACCACGACATGTCCTCAGAACCCAATAGTGTTCTAAAAGCCAAATCAACGTTCTTAGAACATGCCCCGCCGTGCTAAAACAAGACAATCTCGGCCAGAAATGTTCTAATAACATTTCGTGTAAACCACAAGAATTAGTATAACATTCTTTGGTAGGCCTACAGGACGCTTCGCCACTGTTTCAAGAACGGAAATTTGCAACAACATCCAGAGGAAGAGACTTGTGCACACGCACACACTTTTTTAGAGAACGCGTTTCACAGGCGCTTGCCTTGGGAACATTCGGCGGCGCGTTTCAAACCGGGGGGAGGGGCCCCCCAACACTCGCCGTCGATCAAAACCAAGGGGACGCCCCTCCCCCCCAGACCCCCCCCCCCGACCCCCCCTCCCGACCCCCCCCCCCTTCCAAAGGGGGGGGAGAGTTAACCCCCCCCCCCCCCCTCGGGCGCTGGCGCCGGCGCCGGCGCTGGCGGCCGCCAGCAGCGCCCACGGCGGGGACGCAGCGACGATGACCAGAGGCAGCCAAAGGGGTGGGGGGGGGTTCCAACCCCCCCCTCCCAAGGGGGGGTGGTGGTTTCAAAGCCCCCCCCCCTCGGCGCCGGCGCTGGCGGCAGCCAGCAGCGCCGGCGCCGGGCGACGGCGGGACGCAACGACGATGACCACCACTACCACAACCATCACCACCACCATCGCCTCAACCCACCACCACCACAACAACAGCACCCACACAACCACCACCACCACCACCACAGCCACCACCACCACCAACCACCACCGCAACTCACCATCACCACCACCACCACCACAAAAACCCACCACCACTACCACCACCACCACAATCTACCACACCACCACCACCACCGCCACAACCACCACCACTACCAGCAGCACAACCCGCCGCCACCACCACCACCACAGCACAAACGCCACCACCACCACCACAACAAACGTCCACCAAACACCGCCAACCACCACAAACCACCACCAACACCACATCACAAACCACCACCACAGCCACCACCACCCACCCACCACCACAACTCACCATCACCACCACCACCACAAAAACCGACCACCACTACCACCACCACCACCACAATCTACCACGCCACCACCACCACCGCCACAACCACCACCACTACCAGCAGCACAACCCACCACCACCACCACAAACCACCACACCACCACCACCACCACCACCACCACCACCACAAGGACCACCGCACAAACCACCCCACAACCACAACCCAGTACCACCACCAACCACAACACCCACCACCACCACCACCACCACCCCGTAAACCGCCACCAAACCACCACCAAACGACCACCGCCACCACCACCACCACCACCCACCGCCACAAACACCACCACACAACAACCACCACACCACCACCACCACCACCACAACCACAACCACCGCCACCACCACCGCCACCACCACCACAACCCACCACCACCACCACCGTCGTCCTCGTCGACGCTCCACGCCACCGCGCCGGCGCCGACCAAGAAATCGAAATCATCGTCCCCGCCGCCGTCGCCAGCCGCCGCCGACCCAAGCGCAGCGCCGGCCCGAGGAGAGGGGAAACAAGGGGGGGGTCGAACCCCCCCCCTCCGTCACGAGAGTGGGGGGGGGTTCGAACCCCCCCCCCCCGTCGCCACGGAGGGGGGGGCGAGTTTTGAACCCCCCCCGTCCATCCAGGGGGTGGGGTGGGGGGGGTCTGGTTCCAAACCCACACACCACCCCCCTCCAAGCGACCAGTGTGAATTGCGACCGAACCTTGTCGATAGCGCAGCGTACAAGCGTCGTACACCGCAGAATGCAATCGATGGGTGTGTTAGAGAAACTGTAAGTCCAAAACGAACATGCTACACACACACACACACACCGATCCTGGCCAGGCCCATCCTGGGCCTGGGGCTGGTGCATACGCCCTCTTGGCTTGGCCAGAGAGGTGCGGCACACAGACGGGGCCGCAAGAAACCCTCGCAAGAAACCCATCCCTTCGAATATGGGATCAACTACAGAATCGATTTACTCCAAAAGAAACCGCCCCGCCGAATAGACAAGACACGTGTATAATGTGTGTAGATCTACGGGACAATGCATGTTCGGTAGATTTGGCCGGAAAATCAAGTCGGGGGTACATCGATTATGTAGTCAATCGCCTACTCGAATTTGGGGGAAACCCAAGAAAGCACCACGAATGCTGCAGCTCCGTCACCCCCGCGGAAAGTCACCGCGCAGCGCCCACAACGCAGAGGCCAAAGGTACCCCGACGAAAAGCCCATGTCGGGATCCACCGAAGGGGGGGGGCCCTGAGGGGGGGCATGCGTTCGATACGTTGATGCGCCGAACTGCCGCAAACAGTTGGCCCCCGCATGCCCCACCTATCGGCGACTATCGAGAACTGCCGGCGGCTGGGGGGCATCTGTTTGGGGCGGCTCAAAGCCGAAACCGATCGAACTCTCACACCCACACACAAACACACACCCACACACACACACACGCACACACACACACACATACACTGGGGCACAAACACACACACACACACACACCCTTTGCGGGATCCCGACCACGGCCTTCTGATGCGCGTCCCCCGTGATGGGCCAGGCCAGGATCGGTGTACACAGCTCCCTTGGCCCGAAAGACTTAGGTCGGGCATGTCCTCCTCATGGCGGATTTCGGACGAAAACCAAACAAATGTCAAAAAGTGTACCAACAAGATCTAAAACAGTCCTAAAATCGTCCCCCGACCATCTCTTGCCTACTCTCGAACACTCCTCCTGCAGAGTGACAGGCCCGACTCGAGCCTTGGCCCGAGAGACCCCCCGGGCCTCTCCGAGGGCGCGCTGCGCCACAGCATCGGAGAGGGCGAGCCCGGCCGTGGCGGCGAGGGCGGAGGGGCGGCAGCATCGGCGGACCTCTCCGAGGGTGCGCCCTGGTTTTAAGCCGGGCCTGTCCCTGCACGGGAGGGGTGCTCAAAAATGGCCATACAATAGTCTGGGGACGACTTGCTCGACTACTTCAGACTATTGGGGGCTATTTTTGGGGCACTTGTATATTTTTCATCCAAAATCCACCTGTCGGAGGACATGCCCGACCTAACCCTGGTTGGAATGTCAGAACTTCGGGGAAAAGACCCGGCAGTGGCGGCAAGGGCTCTGCAGGACGAGCAGCGGCATCGGCACCCAGACCCGCTGACGTCGTGGTCTTCTCATGACACGGACCCCCAGAGGAGGTCTGGACCCCGTCCCTGGGACGTGGCTTGTCATCCCAAGCCTCGAGTCGGGGATCGGCTGCAGAATTGATTTACCCAAAAATAATTGTCCCGCCGAGTCTACGAAAAATGCATATATGTCCTGTAGATATACGAGAATCCTACGCGTTTCTTGCACACTCGGCGAAAAAAACAATCTTATAGTAAATCAATTATGCAGTTGATCCCCTATTTGAAACGTCGTGGGCCTCTTGGGCCATATTGGGGCGGTGTTGGGGGCCTCTTGGCCTGTCTTGGAGCGTCGGGAAGCTGACAAGGCGAGAATGCCGAAATCTTTCAAAAACTTAAGGGAACTCGTTGATGTTTGCCCCTTGGGGCCCTCTTGGAAGTCCTCTTGGAGGCCTCTTGGGGCATTTTGGAAACCTTTTGAGCCTTCTGGAGGTTACTCTGGCGACTCGGACCGACACTTCGGCCATGCGGGGCCCTCGAGCACAGTCTTGGGGGCATCTCGGGCACTTTGGCGTTCTTGGGGCTTTTCTGGGCCCCCGAATCGCCCTCATGACGCGGACCCCAAGGGGAGATCTGGACCCCTTCTGGGGGACAAGGCTTCTCATCCCGGGCCGTCTCTCTGGACGACCCTGGGGGGCCCCGCGGGGGCCTGCCAAGGCCGAGCAGGCATCGAAGAGCCTGCCGCCGTGCTTTTGTTGCCACGACGCGGGGGGGCCTTCGAGTAGGGGATCGACTACAGAATTGATCTCCTCCTCCTCCTCCTACCCAAAATTGATGCCCACGTCGAATCTTCAACAACAATACGTCGAATACCGGTAGATCTGCGAAAAAGTTCGACGAACTCTCCGGGGAGGGACGAGAAAGGTCATTCCTACAGGGTAAATCAACTCTGCAGTCGATCCCCTGCTCGAGGTCTGCCACAGGAGATGCGCCTGCTCGAGAGCCAGAAACAACCAAAAAAAAAAAAAAAAAAACTCAGGGCCAGCATCGTCGACGGCGACGAGCTCGCGGTGCTGAGTACCGCGGACGTCGGCATGGGCGACGACGCGAGGGGGTCTGGGGCATCTCTTCCTCCCCTGCGGGGCCTCCCCTGGGCCCTTGTGGGCAGGGTAACCAGCGCCGACGCCACTCGCCAGGCTGCGCGGGGCCGGCAGCGTGGGCACCGCGCCCGGGAGGAGGTCGCCGTCGACCGCGCCGAGGGTTTCGCTGTTGCGGCGGGACTTGCCGACACCGACGCGCTCCTGATAGGGGCACTCCAAAATAGATCCTCCCGCCGAGTACGCAAGAAACGCGTACCGTGTTCGTAGATCTCCGGGACATTACACGCACTTTCCGTAGATTCGGCGGGGATATCAACTTTGGGGTACATCAATCATGTAGTCGATACCCTACTCAATGCACGTAAACGCTCGGAGCTTGCATCTGCGCCGAACCTCCCTCCCTGGCGCGCGGAGCGCGCCGGTGGGCGCCGCCAGGGGGCTCCAGCGCAGCCCTCCTGGATGGAAAGAAGCGGTGACGACGAACAAGGCCAGAGGCCTCCCAGAGTCGACCCGAGCAGACTGGGTCGGAGGCTCGCGCCGCACCGCCGATGCATTGCCGATGCATCGGCACAGTCGGATTGAAGAAACTCGGGCTCAACATCGGCGATGCGTCGGCGATGCGTCGGCGATGAGGCGCGATCCTCCTGACGACCGCGTTCATGCCGTGATTTTTCTTCGAGCAGGGGTGGCCAGTCCGCACGTGCCGGCGGGCCACGCACGCGCAGTGTGTCTCTGTGCCCCGGCGGCCCCTGCACAGCATCCAGGCGTCGCGAGAGAGCCGCGCCGCACCCTCCTCCTCCTCCTCCTCCTCCTCCTCCTCCTCCTGCTCCTCGCCTCCTCCTCCTCCTCCTCCTCCTTCTGCTCCTGCTCCTCGCCTCCTCCTCCTCCTCCTCCTTCTGCTCCTCTTCCTCCTCCTCCTCCTCTTCCTCCTCCTCATTTCCTGAGCCGAGCCGTGGAGCGGCCTGGCTCAGGGAGTGAGGCACAGTGGTAGGGTCGGATGCCGTGCTCGCGACTTGCCCCTGAGGAAGTCTGCCCGAAGAATGCTCGTGCCGTTTGCCTCAGGAACTCGCCCGGCACACCTTGGACCTGAAGCCCGAAGCAGACTTCCGAGACATGGGCCTCAGCCGATTGCAAACGGCAGACGTGAGGTAGGACGAAGAAGAAGAAGAAAAATAAGAAGAACAGGAAGAAGAGGACGAAAACGAACATGTGCAACTGCAGCAGCCAGGCACGGTGAGGAAAAGAACAAACACTACGTGGGAGCCACAGCGGCCCGTCGGAGATCTGGTGCACTAAACGACACCAGAGGTAGCCAGTGCAGATCGTGTGAACGAGCATCGCGGGGCTGCACCGCCGACGCCGCCGCGCTAGCTGCCGAAACCGCCCACGCCGCCGCACCTCAAGGTGAAGGGTTGGAACCACCGCCCCCGCCGCCTCTGCTGCTGCTGTATCGGCGGGTCCGCGGGACGGGCGGTTCGCGCCTTCCCCGTGTGACGGGCGGTTCGCGCCGTCCATCTCCCTCCTCCCCCTCTGCTGCTCCCTGTGGCTGGTGTTGCAAGCGCTCTTTCTCCTCCTCCTCCTCCTCCTCCTCCTCCTCCTCCTCCTCCTCCTCCTCCTACTCCTCCTCCTCTCCTCCTCCTGCTGCTGCTACTGCTACTGCTACTGCTACTGCTACTGCTACTGCTACTGCTACTACGACTACCACTGCTACTACGACTACCACTACTACTACTACTACTACTACTACTACTACTACTACTACTACTACTACTACTACTACGACTACTACTACTACTAATTCTACTACTACTACTACTACTACTACTACTACTACTACTACTACTACTACTACTACTACTGTACTACTACTACTACTACTACTACTACTACTTCTACTACGAGTACTACTACTACTACTACTACTACTACTACTACTACTACTATACTACCCTACTACTACTACCACTACTACTACTACTACTACTACTACTACTACTACTACTACTACTAGTACGACTACTACTACTACTACTACTACTACTACTACTACTACTGCGGCTGTCTAACTACTAGCTGCTACTATACTACTACTACTACTACTACTACTACTACTACGTCTACTACTGCTACTATACTACTACTACTACTACTACTACTACTACTACTACTACTACTACTACTACTACTACTACTACTACTACTACTACTACTGCTACTACTACTACTACGACTACGACTACGACTACTACTTCTGCTACTACGACTGCTCCTACTACTACTATCACGACTACTACTACGACTACGACTACACTACTACTACTACTACTACTACTACTACTACTCGTCTTTCTCCTACCCCTCCTCCCCCTCCTCCTCCTCCTCCTCCTCCTCCGCCTCTTCTTTTTAGTATTACGAGCATGATGTGTATTATTATGTCTTGTGTGACTAGCCCACTCGTTCCTCTCAATAATAGTATCACCCATACTATCTTACTTTACTACTCATATTCGTATTCGTAAGATTGCTTATTCTTATTATTAGTAAGGGAGTGCTGTGGTTACTCTGCTTGTTAGAAATAGTGGTAATCATATCAATAGGATTATTCGTGTTATTAGTATTAGTAATAGGAGTCGCCTCCCTGTTATGATTTAAACGATTGGTCGTACTGATATGAATATTTCTATTTTAAGTATCAATCATATTGTTAGTACTCCTCCTCCTCCTTCTCCTCCTCCTCCTCCTCCTCCCCTTCCTCCTCCTCCTCCTGTTCCTTTTCCTGTTCCTGCTCCTGTTCCTGTTCCTCCTCCTCTTCCTCCTCCTCCTGCTCCTCCTCCTCCTCCTGCTCCTCCTCCTCCTCTTCCTTCTCCTCCTCCAACTTTTCTGACGCTCTGGCTCCTCCTGCTCCTCCTCCTCCTCCTCCTCCTCCTCCTCCTCCTCCTCCTCCTCCTCCTCCTCCTCCTCCTCCTCCTCAAGGCACCTGCCCGCCACACGTCGCAGCCGCCCCCGCCGCCGCCACCGCCATTGTCGTCGCCACCACGTCGCCAGGCCCCGCCACCAGAGTCCTCGGCATCGTGGACCCTGTGCCTCAGCGACGCGTTCTCGACGCGGAGCTGCTCGAGCTCTTGCACCTCTTACGCCGCCGCCGTCGCCGCGGGCGACTGGGACGACTCGAACTGTTACGACCCATCTCCGCCGACGCGAGGAAGGGGAAAGCAGGTAAATTCGGCGACCCATGAGGGCCAGCTTTCGTCAATCAAACGGGGCAGCGACCTCCGCAGCTTTGCGCGCTAATGATTCCTCCTCCCCTCCCTTTCCTCGTCCCATTCAGAGGTCCCCAAGAGGCCCCCCACGAGGCCCCAAAACTGCTCCCAAGAGGCCCCCGAGAGCTCCCCGAGACCCGAAGAAGCCTCCCTGATCACTGAACACTCCGACCCACAACCCAGGCGCGGTGGCTAGATGGACCGACGGCCACTAGACTTGGGTCGGGCACATGTCCTCTACAGGCGGAGTTTGAAAGGAACCAAAAAAATACTCAAGGAAGATTCAGTAAGAGTCCAATCCAAAAAACAGCCCCCAGACTATTGTTTACTATGTTTGAATACTCCTTCCGTAAAGGGACATGCCCGACTGAACACTGGACGCCTTTGGCGACCGAAGACCCGAACCGGTGCTTCAGAAAACTGCATCTGAGTAGAGAGCCCCACGAGCGTACCACACGGAGAACTGTAGCGAAGACAGGATACGAGGGAGGCCATGCGGGAGGCCATCCGGGAGATCATGCGGGAGACCGTGCGGGAGCCCACACGGGAGACCACACGGGAGACCATGCGAGAGACCAGGCCGTCTGGGAGACCGTACGCGAGGCACTATCCACTAGCCCCATTGGGGGGCCACAAGCTGCGAGGGCTTGGCGTTCCGGTTCCCTGCAGCTCTTCCGGTTCCCAGTGTTATAGCTGTAGAGATGTCCTCCTCCAGCTCGAACGTTGTAATGATTGGGTCCGCGCTAAGTCCCCAAGCCGAAAAGCAACCCATTCCCCTCCCAGAATCACGCGCTCTGAGTTTCCGGACGGAGCCTGGGACACGCAGCGGGCTCACGCCCCCGAGACCACAACCCACAGAAAATTCCATTAGACTCGCGACGCCAATGCCACAACCCGTTTGCAAGCTACAACGGACTCGCGCTCCCGAAGCCACAGCCCCTCCTAGCAAATTACAACATGCTCGCGCTCCCGGAACCAGTCCATCCCGTCAATTACACCGAATTCGTCGCTCCCGAGGTCACAGTCTCCCGTGAACTACGACACGCTTGCCTCCCCGAGGTCTCACCCCCTCGTAGATTACAACAGGCTCCCGCTCCCGAAGCCAGTCTCTTTTTGAACCTACTCCGCCCTCGCGCTCCCGATGCCACAGCCCACGTGAGTTACCACAGACTCGTGCTCCTGGGGCCACGATCCCGCCACAGAAAATGCGCCACCCAGTGTGTGTGTGTGTGGGGAGACGGCCGAGAGGCCGTTCCTATACGGGGTCCGCAGGTAGAGGCGAGGAGTAGGACTCCTTTCCCAGGGCACTGCGCAGGGAGCAGTGCACTGATAGTGTATTGCCAATACCTGAGCCAATACAGTTGCGGTGAGAGAGGATACAACAGGGAAGTGAGCGGACTTCACACACATGGAACGGCGGTAGGGTCCGTCGCAGACGGCCCAGCCAGCTTCCAAGCGACTGGCTGGGATTGCCGCGCTCCCGCTCCGGCGCCGCCCGTGGGCGCCTCGTGGGCGCCTCGTGGGCGCCCCGGGGGCGCCTCGGGGGCGGACTGCACCCAGTTGAGTGCACCACATACAGTCGGACTTCGTTGGACAAGACACGCGAGAGGACCAAAGACCCTTCTGAAGACCACACTGCCGTTGGATTGCAGGAGGCACGAGTCGCGAGACACAGGACACAAGGGTACCCTTGATTTGGCAGGGTCGACCTACTACATTATCCGGGCCGACTGTACTTTGCACCACACAGATCCTCCTCTGCAGACAGAAGATCCGCCACCGTGCCCTGGGGCACGAACTGGAGCGTCATCAGGTTCCTTGCTCCATTCCATGACCTGCAGTTCTCTGCCCCGAGGGTGATTTTGAGGGACCCGGACCCCTGGCTCTCAAATCTTCCGGGGTTCCCGGCGCGCCCCCTGGGCCCCGTCGCGACTCGTCGCATGACCTGTTTGGGTCCAAGAGAGCCTCAAAACGGGCCAAGAGCGCCCCTATCAGGCCCCCAAGACGGTCCAAGAGGGCCCCGAATCGCCGAACAATCGATAATTACAGGACGCCCAAGATGGCCTCCAGTCGGCCGAAAACGCGTCAAGGACTCCCCAAGAGAGGCCCAAGATACCTCCCAAGAGGGCCCCAAGAGGCAAAAGTCGGCAAATCGGGCCAAGAGGCTCCGAAGAGGGCCCGAGACGGCTCAAGAGGCCCCAAGACAGCCCAAGAAGCGCCCCAGAAGGCCAAAGAGAGCCCAAGGACGGCCCCAAGCGAGGCCCAAGAGGGGGAGCCCGAACCGATAATTTAAAGCTTTCCGCCCCACCCCCAGGAGGCCCAAGAGGCTCCAAGAGGCCGTCAAAGGCCACCAAAAAGCACCCAAGACGCCCCAAGAGGCCCCAAAACGGCCCGCGAGAGGCCTCAAAACTGCGTCCAAGAAGACCCCGGGCCTCCCACGACATCCTAACAAACATCTAAAAGGCTTTTGCCCCTCAACCCAACAACGGTGGCGGGATGGGCCGAAGGCCATGCGATACTCAACCACCATCCCGAATCTAGACTCATCGAGCCCCATGGGACACGGCAATGTGTCTTTGATTCTGCCTCGTCGCTCATCTTCAATTTGAAATCATACCATCCCAGGCCAACGGGCTATCGACCGCCCCCAATCCCTTTCAAAAAATACCACCATGCGCGCACACCCGATCATCTCAAAACATCAGCTTGCAAGCATATCCGTGGAAAAAAACGACCACGAAGTTCGTACGCGCGCACAGGTTATGTGTTACCAAACACTTTACTCCTGCAAACGTATCAACACAATAACATAATAACCAAACGGCATGAGTCACGCAAAATACTGCAAAAAATCCGGCCGCGCACACTCGTTGTAATCATTGGGGAACCATGTGTGGTTCAGCCATCTCGTCCAAAATCCCCATGAGCATGTCGCCATGCGGTGCATCTCCATTGATCCAACACGTGCCCAGCCCACGAATCCAGCTCAAATCATACCATGAGGGCCACACGCGCGCGCGCGCGCCGCCACGCGCGCGCATCGAATTCTAGACGAACCCAGTGGATCTCGAAACATCCCGAAATATCAGCCAGCGTTGGCTCCAAATAGATTCGACCCAAATCAAAAAATCCGAGGAATCAAGCACGCTTGGAATCCGTAACTCAGCAAGCAAGCAGGCGTGCAAGCAAGCGCGCAAGCAAGGCAAGCAAGCAAGCAGGCCTAGGCATAGGCGTAGGCATAGGAGTTAGGGGGGACGCATAGGCATAGCCATAGCCATGGGAATTAGGGGGGGCATAGCAACTAGGGGGGGGCAACGGACTCCTATAGGGTTTGAGCTAGGACTCCTATAGGGCAAGCCTATTTGGAGAACACACCGATTAACAAAAAAACACTAAAAGGCGCCTTACAAGGAAACGTGTCCCAAAGTTTGCATGTATGAGCGCGGCTTTCCTCACCACCACCCTCGTCAGAGCCATCGCATCACCGCCGCTATCGTCATCGATAATCGCCGCCATCGCCGCCATCATCAGCAAAAACACCTCCATCGGCAACAGCTCCATCAGCAAAACATCCGTATCGTCGTCACCAGAATCGGTGCCGTCATTGGCCTTGCCGTCGTCTTCGTCCTCATCGCCACCGCCACCGCCATCGCTGCGCCCATCATCATCGCTTCCGCCGCTGTTGACGTCATCATGATACCGCGCCCGCCCGAGCCACCGACCCGCACTGAACCGCCTGCATGCCAGCTCGGCCATTGAGTCGCCCCGGCAAGGTAAAATCCATCGCGGCCACGTTCGATGTGCCAAACCAGCTGGTCGCCGGCCCCAGGGATGTGCTAGCAGGTACCAATCGGTACCCGCACTCGTGGCCGCATGGATTTGCCAAACGGATTGCGGGATGGAGGGTGGGATGATTTCGCGGACAATGTAGTTGAAAATTCAGAGGTTGACCAAAACGGACTGCACCACTTATATTGCAGCACAAAGCACGTACCACATCGTTTCCACCACATAGCTTGCGCCATATAGTAGGCTTCTACACCTGGGAAGATTTAGACTTCACTCCCAAAAAAACGCACACGACCACAAACACACACACACACACACACACACACACACATACATACACACATACACACAAACACACATACACACACACATGGGAGGTCGCGGCCTCGCGCGCAGCGACGAGGCGGAGAAAGTCACCCGAGCAACTAGAGAACACACACTCACACACACCACACACCACAACCCAGTTCCACCGAGGTTTGGGTCATCCGGTCCCATCCGCGTAGTGTGAGGTCATATTTCTTCTATGCACGAGCGTTCGGTTAGAAATTCAAACACTACCATGCTTGCTGCCGCGCTATCGTCGTCCCTCCCATCGTCCCTGTCAAATATCTCTGTGCGCGACCATTCGCTGAAATATGCAAAAAAACACTGGATGTTGGCTATACCAACCAAAGAGACGATGCGGGCCACACGCGAACGCGTATGTCGAAAACTTTCAACAAATGTCGCGCACCCGCCAACCCTGTCAAAGAATACTATGCGGGCCACACACGCGCATCTCCCTGCGCGCACGTCGAAATCCTTCTGACATGAAGCTGGCGCGACCCCAATGCGGGACAAACGTCCTATTGCATAGGCGCATTTGCTTCGCATTGCTTGGCGTATTGCTTGGCATTGCTTGGCAGGGCTCGGCATTGCTTGGCATTGCTTGGCCTTGTGTGGCATTGCGCGGCATTGCTTGTCATTGCCTGGCATTGATGGCATGGCATTGCATTGCTTGGCGAAGAAACAAGACCAAGAACCCCAGGGAACCTGGCGAGGATCGCGCCTCGCATCCACTGGATCTCCAAAAACAAATAAGAACCCTTAGGCCAAGCCTGAATGGCGTTTGGCGTATGGCTGCTTCACTTCACAGGCCAAGCCTAAATGGGGAACCATTGGCTATCAAAAAATCGGCACGGCGTGCTGTTTCAACCGTCGTTATGTGAGTAATTCAAGCTTCTGCGCGCACACTTCCTGAACCTGCTCACCAACACCATCGTCAAAATCATCATCGACAGCGTCATCGTTGACAACGTCATCACAATCATGTTCATCACCACCACCTTCGTTCTCGTCGTCATCCCCAACGTCGCCATCCACATGTTCATCGTCATCGGTACCGTCGTTATCGCCGCCCTCAGCATCATCGATACCCTCATCACCAGCGATTTCATGTTCACCACCATCACAATAATTTTCACAACCATCACCATCGCCGTTGTCATCGTCGTTGTCGTCGCCTGTGTCGTCAGCGCCACCATCATCATTGTCATCAGTACTCGTCCGCACGACTCATAGATATATTTCAAGGGTCCTCGCGCCACTAAGCTAAACGAGTTTCGCGAACAAGTTGAGGGTGGGCGGGTGGGATTGTTTGCACGAGCATTAGAGGTGGTCACGCGCGGATGCCAGCAAGGTAAATCGCACCACGTAGCTTCCGCCACGAAGCTTGAACATCACGAGTGTACGAACTCATCGCTAGGGGCCCTCACTGGCAGACGTGCTGTGATGCGTTCTTCCATGCCCCGCCCGCTCTCACCACTCGATTCGGCGGCGGGCGAGGGGGAGAAGTGAGAAGGAGAAGGCCTTCTAAGAAGGCGGCGGGACTTCTCAGAAGCCCTCGCGCATTCTGAGAGGTTCTCTGTGTCTTCGGGGAAGGCTCAGGAAACTTCCCGCAAGGCGAGGGGACTTCCGGGCCTCCTGAGAGGGCCCGCCCCTTCTCACCTTCCCCCCCAGGCTCGCCGCCGATCCATGCCGAGGCACCCCGGGCTCGGACTCGGGCGCTGCTTGCCCCTCGGTGCGCTCTGCCGTCCTCGAGGGCTGCCGAAGGCGTCCCTGATCCCAAGGTGCCCCTCAGCTGTTCGCTCCATGCTGCAGGCGCCAGGGCACTCTTGTGAAGGGGCCCTGGGACACACAAGTAAATAGACACAAATAACAGGATTCCACACATTGTCCAGAATTTTTTTGAGTTTTGTCTTCCCCCCCACTTCCCATATCTTTCCATATTTTCTGGGGAATCGACGATTAATTGTGTCTATGTGTTTCTTCCCCTCCTGAATTCTGGGCCTCGCGAGGGGTGATCTCGAGGCCGTGGGGGCCTCCTTCGAGATCGTGGCGGCACCTTTCGGCGGCCAGCCCGGGGGGAAAGTGAGAGGGGGCGAGCCTTCTCGCCTTCTCGGAAGGCTCGGAAGTCCCCTGGCATTGTGAGAAGTGTCCTAAGCTTAAGTCGGGCGTGTCCCCCTCCAGGGGGATTTTGGACGAAAGATTAAGAATACCTTAAAAATACCCCCAAATGGCCAAAAATTGTCAAAAAATCGTCCCCAGACTATTTTTGAATATTCCCCCTGTAGAGGGACAGGCCCGACTTAATCCTAAGCCTTCCCCGACCCGAATGCACAGAGAACCTCTCGGAAGGCAGGGAGGGCTTCTGAGAAGCTCCGCCGCCTTCTGAGAGCACCTGCTCCTTCTCACGTCTCCCACCCGCTCGCCCTTCGGCAGAACCATAGATCTCGCCATCGCTCGGACGTCCATTCCCCGTGCAGTCTTCAGCTTCGTACGCTTATTCTTCGCACGATGATCCAAGATGCCCCTCTTGAAAAAGGCAATACAGCATGCACATAAACTTTTGGCGCTCCGCGCGGATTTCTTGGATCTGCGCTGGACCCCCCTCCCTGGCGCGCGGAGCGCGCCAGGGGCAGCGCCGGAGGCGCCGCCGGGGGAGCCCAGGCGCCGATCCAAAAAATCCGCGTGGAGCGCCAAAAAAGCAAGTTTCTGTTTATGCCGCCTTGTTCCCTCTTCGACCCTCGATGGTCCTCGCCGGCCGAAACAAATGCACACCTCCGAGCGAGGCCACGAGCAAGGGGTGCCAGCAGCGTCGGGGTACCAACGGGGGGCGGACTGGGTGGGGCCGCTCCCACGGGCTCCCTCGCCGCGGGCCGAGGCGCACGCGCAGGTGGGTGGGGCAGCTCGGGGGTCACCGAGGGGCTGCACGAGGAGAAGATCGGGTGGTCCAGGCCTCGGAAGAAATTCGCGAACGCTCTGGCCACACTCGCGTGTCAGTGCCCCCCCAATGATCAACGCTGGCGGTGGGTTGGACGAGTTGCATTTCGACCGCAGTCTTCCCCGCGCTTGCCAACTTTGAGTTTTGGGGGGCGGGAAAGTGTCCACGAATTGAAGCTTCTAAAGTCCAGCCGCTCTGAAAATGTATCGGGCGCCGCGGCCTTCTCAGAGAGTTCCGAAACGCTCTGAGAGCGTTCGAGAACGCTCTGGAACGGATCTGTGGTCGTCCTAGCCCCGTCCGACTGAACAAGCACCGCACGAAAGGCCTCCGACGAAGGTCAACCCGTATGATAAGGACGCACGACAAGGATGCAAAGCTCTTTCAAGACCATGTCGACACTTTGCGAGCGGGGCGCTGCCGGCGAGAGCAACCAAAGATGGGCCGAAGGGGAAGGATGCAAAGGTAGCCTTGGAGGGTTGCTCATACTTGCTATGCGGGTTGACTGCAGCACGCGCTCATCAGCCAGAACGCCGCCTTCGGTGGCAACTCATGGGAGCCTCCCGTACCATACACTGACTCGACGCTACATTGACGCGAATCGGCGCTAGATCGGCGCTATCTCATCCACTCCCAGACGCCACTCGGCACCAATCGACGCCAAATGCGGAGTCACGAGGGCACGCTCGCCTCCCCCGACCTGCTGCCGAACGCCGCCCCCTGTTTGGGGCTCTGGCGCCCCCTCCTTTGAGCAGGGACCGACCGTCCTAGCATTCCTATTGTCCTACCACGAAATGTTCTTAGAACCCAAAAATGTCCTAAAAACAAATCCGATGTGATAAAACAAGACAGGCTGCGCCAGAAATGTTCGAATCACCTTTTATGAAAATAACAGAAGCTTCTTAGAACATTGTTCGGTAGACCTACAGGCGAACCAGGACGCTTCGCCACTGCTTGACTCCTCGCGCTCCTCCGCGCGCCGCCTCGAGGTTGTAGCACGCGGTCAGCTGCTTCACGAGCCTGTGGAAGCCGGCCGGCTCCTGGCCGGGAGAGGGCGCTCCCCCCCTCGAGGCGTGCGCTCCCCTG